TTTGCAGCCATCGAAGAGGCCACCAACACGTTTACAAAGGCTGCGAATATGCTCACACGTTTAGTCATTTTGAAACGATCTTCCTTTCCAAGTACGAAGTGACTTCGTAAAAAGAAGAAAAGCATTAATGACTGTTACAAGCTGATGCCTTATTAAAGAGTTAGGTTCAGATGGCTTGGCGAATTCGAAATTGATTGTGTGCGTGACAACAGCGTCGTAAACAAGTCCCTCAGGGGTAATGTTATTCGTAATTGTTCCTCTCCGCAAATCTTCTTTCAGAATTTATACAAAAGGATCTGACGTACTTAATACTCAAAATAAAATAACATTGTTGCTGCTAAAGAAAGTAGTCGTTGAAGATTGAAAAGTGTTGTATTTGCTTTTGTTTCTTCAGCAGATAGATTTCTTGAGAGCCATTACTGATGATGAAGTAATACCGAGAATGTTACATATCGGAGATTCCTGCGTTTCTACTTTCGCTGTCAAAAGCACAAAATTAGTCATGACTGAAAGGTGCTGCATCGGTTAAATTGTATTATCAACGGAAATGATAACGTAAATTGGCCGCCTTAAAGAGTTTAAAAGGTGACGTTTCGAGCGTTAGCCCTTCGTCGCAGCAAAGAAGCTGATAAGGGGCTAACGCTCGAAACATCAGCTTTTTAACTGTGAACGAAGCTGACGAGGGGCTAACGCTCGAACATCAGCTTTTTAACTGTTAACGAAGCTGACGAGGGGCTAACGCTCGAAACTTCAGCTTTTTAACTCTTTACGGTGGCTAATTTACGTTATCAACCCAGTGGATAATGTGAAATTACCCTGTTATACTCTCCCACAGACGCAGCGTGACGTGTGATCGGACCCCTCCTTCGCCACCCTCCAATAGGGCTCTCTGGCCTAATTACCACTCCCATATTGAGAATCGCCTCTGGGAAAACGGATAATCATGCAAATATTTCTCTTTATTCGCAAGAAAAATGAAATAGCAATGGGACAAAGGATATACGTGTGATGCACGTTCATCACGCAGCGCCACCTTGGATCGTGTGGCACACCAAATCCAGGCTGGACGGGCATTCTATAGGCATGTTTCTGTTAGACACTGTGGCCGAGGGAGTTGTGACTTCCGTCGTGTAGTCAAAAATCTCTTCAAAATATTCGATATTTTGATTCACCTTTCGTCGGGAAATGGCTTACAGTTTACGGCTACAGCCTTTTTTGCGAAGGCTATATCTTTGATACCGAAAGTAAGTTTTAGTCTTGACGAGTTGTTGTTGGTGATGCCTCGAGTCTAGGTGAAAGTGGAAATTGTACTCAAACAGTTCTTTCAAGCGCTGATGAAAATAGGAATTTTGATATCGGTGCTATATAAGTATTATTATTATCTTCTTCTTCTTTAAAGTTCAAGAAGTAAACGTAAACGAAGCATGTATCCGTTAGTTTTTTCTTAGATTTTTATTAAACATTTTAATGTATTTTTTGATTTTTTTTTAAGGATTTTATCATAATTTTTTGTAAATATTTTTAGTGATTATAGTGGATAAAGAATATTATTGAAAAAAATTATTATATTATTATTATTATTATTATTTCGTTAGAATGAAATAATTATGTGAAATGAGACCTATGACAGATTTTAATTTAATCAAGTGTATACTATATTGTAGGAAAAGAATTTTAGTGAATTATCTTTAATAAAAATATCATCTGGACTTTAAAAAATTAATATTATTATCATTATTATTATTATTATTATTATTATAACAGTTGTGTGATTCACGCCATTCATACTATTTTAAGGATCTTATACTGTTCTTCTCCGAGCTCCATCGGTCGAGATGGTTATAGATTGGCCAAATAATTACATTTTAATTAACCTAGACGAAGTGGACGTAAATAAACAAGGAAATCATGTATAACATTAATCATATGGTATAGATCACAACTAAAAATTTCATTGAGCGGAACAAGGCGAGTGATCCCACTCGGGGTTTTCAATCAGACTCGCTTCTTCCAGGCTGCTCTCGGAGCCCACCACATCAATAAGTTTTACTGATAAAAGTGTGCTCAACTCGGGCAATCAAAGACGACTCTTCTGTTGCTCTTGCTTTCTGAGCAGACGTCGAAGTATTTTTCCACTGGCTGACTTTGGTATTTTTTCTACAAACTCCACCCCACCCCGGAGTTTCTTCTCTGGCG